GCGGCCGCTTTGGCCTTCCTTGTCTTCAGGCACTCGGCGTGGTTCATTTGATCTCTGTCTGGCGGAGAACCTGCAAGAAACAACAAAGATTAGAAGACGAGCGGGGAATAGTATAAGACACTCACCTCGAAGGACAGGGCCGCCCGGTGCCCCGAGACGAGCGTCGAAGGGTAGGAAAAGTCCAGGGACACGGGCGGTACCTATGCCTGCCCCGGAGAGTGCCTCGAAGGTCAGATATCCGGCTATGGGACGGACGCCACCCTCCAACACCTTCTCCGCGTCCAAAAGCAGATCGTCGGTCGGCTCCGGTGACTCAATCTTTGGGGGATACCCGTTCCACCGGAGAGGGAGAGGAGGCCCGTCGTATCGGAGGAAGAAGAAGCGGTTCTTCCAGTCGTGGATGGACGAGGGGTAGCTCTTGAACAGCCGTCTCCCAGGACGTGCGGCCACGCTCAGATACCCGTCGACATTCTGGGGAGTGACGCGGTAGAAATAGTGGAAAAGATCCAGAGTGGCATCGACCCCCGCAAGTTTGCAGCGCACCAAGAAGGCCGATATGAACCTATAAGAATTTGGCATGAATTGCGCCGGAGCCACCTGGAAGCAGGGGAAGAACTCCACATAAAACGCATGAAGTGGAAACCGCAGCCCGGCTTCAACGGAATCCAGGTGGAGCATGATCATCCCCGGACGTCTCCTCATCACATGCTCAGCGCCTCTCACACTCCAGACGAACGGCGGAGGAAGGAAGGTACGGATTTTATTGAGGGCCACACGGGAGAGGACTTGGTCGTGGTCAAGGGCGCTCCTAATCGGGCAGATGTGACGCTCCATATCCGTGGGGATGCCCAGATCATACACCTCCATATCAGAACCGGATTCGGCTTCCTCTCCAGAATCATAATCAGCAGGACGCTCATTCAGGGGGACCGCATCAATAACGTCCACTGCCTCGTCGGCATCCCCACCCCTGGCGCTGCTCCCACTACCTTGGGAAGCACCACCCGGCTCACCATCAGCCCGGATGGTTCCCACCGTCGTGGCCGAACCCGAGGTTCCGGAAACACTAGTTTTTCCTAGGGAGCGTGCATTCGCATTTTCGGAAGAGGAGCCCCGAGGAGGAACCCGACGAACTGGAATCAGAACTTGAGGAAATCTCCATCGAAGTCATTCCGGCTAGAAATCAGAGTAAAGAAAAGAAGCAGAAGGGGGAAATTACCTTACAAAGGGGTTAGCCGAATTCACGAGACTTGAAGAGCTGCGGAAAATCGAGAGCAAGAAAGCAGAAATTGGGAACCCTAATTCAGAGGGAAAACCCGGCATTTATAGGAGAAAACACCGTTGGGGAAACCAACGAGGGGCTGACACGTGGCCAAGAGCGTATTCCGGCCCACGCGCTGTGCGTGGGATGGGAACGTAATGATGACACTTCCTCGGGAAATTGCACCGCCGCAACATCAGCCGTCACCTCGTTTCCTGAACCGTCAACAGCTGTCAAGCACCATGACCACGAGCGTACGTTTCCACCAGATGCAATAAACATAAGTACCAAGATACGGACGTCTACTTCGGGGAGGTTCATACTTCCTTATGTCCTGCGCATGCGCAGAACATTAGAAGTGGGGGACTTGTGTTGGGTTAAGGGCCCAAGCCGAGGTCCGGCCCACTAACCCATTTTGCCAGACGAACGTCCAGTTAGAACACTAGGCCAGCCCACAGGCTCATGTTCCTTGAGGATGGACGAACGTCTGGTGTTGGAGGACTCAGGCCCAGCAGCTCATTCCGACGAACGTCTATGCAGGGACAAGGAGCAGAACCACGGGCCACCAGGGATGGCGACGAACGTCCCCAGCGCAAGCCTGTAGTCATCGGAGAAAACCCAGTGCACATGGTGAGTATCTATCAAGGCCAGGAGACGAACAGCCAATATCCCTCAAGGGTCACTTGGAGCAATCCAACTCACTTCCCGGGTGGACGAACGTCCCCACTGATCCGGCGGGAAACCTAGATTCTGGCGGGAAGTGCATTTAATGCTAAAGATTTGGTAGTTGGGACACCAGCGGTCCACAGGCTGCCACGTCAGTACAGCCACCTGCCCATTGGCGGGTATAAATAGAAGCATTTATTTCATTGTAAAGGGTTGACAACTTTCTATTCTTAGCATACTAGCTTCAGCATTCTTACTCGCAGCATTTCTAACTGCCTTGTAAGACGAACGGCCGACGTGCCTTTTTTAGCAAGTAGATTGTACTTAGGGGAGTTATTACGAAGATAATAATACCTATTTACATTGCCTGCTATTACTCTTGTTTCCTGATCCATCTGATAGTTGTTGGGCTAGACATTCATACACTCCCTCCACTCGAAATCTTTGGGCTTACGTGTTGGGTCCAAGGGTTGAAGGAATAAACCTCAACAAGAAAAAACCCATAAAAAATGAAAAAAATTATGGATACCTTTCCCACCGCCTCCCGCCACCTCCCACCACCGACACCTCCGATTGGTGAAATGTCTTCCACTTTTGGTAAAAAATGTCATCTTTGTCTGGAAATGCCAAAAAGATAGCATAATTACTCTTCAATATGCCAACATTTTCACTGAATATGCCATCATTATGGCATTATTTAAAATGTTGGCATATTTTTCTCCGGTGATGGGAGATGGTGGTGTTGGGGGTGGTAGGGGTGGTAATGTTTTTTTTTTTTAAATTCTGCGATTTTTTTTTATTTTATTTTATTTTATTTGAATTTTTTTTTTAATTTTTTTTAAAAATATTTTTATTAATTTTCTATTATTTGTTTTATGATTTTTAATATTTTTTCCGATTTTTTTATGATTTTATTATTAATTAAAATTTGTTCAAACACACATAAATAGTCATATTAAGGAAATTTAAAAAATATAGTCTTATTTGTGCAATTTTGCCACTTTTTAGTCCTATTTAGGTAATTGACTCTAAATATTTTTGGAGGTAGTACTATGTATATGTTAGGGTTCTGGGACTGAGAACGGGTCCAGGGACGACTTGGGGTAGCAGGGTACCCGGGTAAGGTGGTAACCTGCCTGCAAGGGTTACGCCTCTTCTTGCCTGTGGCTGGAAGAGCGCAGGGGGAGGGGGAAGTCGTGATTAATTATTCTTAATGATCGATGGTTTTATTAATGCTGAATAAAGAGTATAAATAGGAAGTCTGCCTTTAGATGATAGAGTTCTACTCTAACTAAAACTTTAACTTCTAATACCTCTATTACTAATATGAAACAATAAATAAATATAAATTAATAAATAAAATATAAAGATAACATCAAACTGGACTCCTAATTAATTAAAACCCTAAAAATGCATCAGTACCATCACTCCCTCCCTCGACACTGAGCTTGTCCTCAAGCTCATATCTTGGCTAAGCCTGACTAAAGACTCAACGGCTACCATGTGGCCTTATCTGGTGTGGGCCATTGAACTACTAGTGCCACTTATAGCGTTGGCAGACAATTCCAAGGCTGGGAAACCATCTTTTTCCTCCTCATCTTCTATCTCGATCAAGAAAAGCTTTTTGCATCGGTGATTCATCGTCCACTGTTCATCACAATTGTAACATAGCCCTTTTGCTCGTCTTTCTGCCATTTCATCCTTCGTCAGTCGCTTAACAATGGGATTTCCTGCCTTTGTTGTCACGAGCGCTTGTTTAAGCTGTGGCGGGCTGCGTTGTTTCATATCCATTGTAGTACCCGAGACTTTTATTGGTGCAAGCGTCAGTGTTTGCCTTACTTCCAATGCTCGTGCAAGGTTCATTGCGTAACCCAGGTTGCCTGGTTTTGCTATCTCCACATCAGCCCGTAAGTGTGGATGGAGACCAGCGACAAACAAAGCAATCTGAAGGTTGGACTGTATTTTTGAAGTTCTTGCTAAGGCTTTCTGAAATTGGGCACAATATTCATCAATTGTCCCTGTTTGCATCAAAAGCTTTAGATCACCTATCGGGTTAGAACTCAGAGGGGGCCCAAAACGCTCCAGGCAAAGGTCTTTAAACCTATCCCGGTTGACTTCACCTTCTTCCTCGATCATCTAGTCAAACCAGAGTTGTGTGTCATCTATCAAGTGGAATGCAACAACATTGACCTTGGCAGCACTAGGAGTTTCTTTATTCAAGAAGATTTTTTCGCACCTTTTCAACCAGCTGATAAGATCACAGTTGCCATCGAATACTGGGAATTCTATCTTCGCATATTGTGGTCTCCAGGGGTTCATGGTTTTGTAAGACGTATGACCATTCACCTGACTGTTATCCACTTTATCTTCCTATGTTATTATTGACTTCGAATCGTGTTTGTGGACTGCCAGAGATAGAGCGGCAATCTGCTCTTCTATGGCGGATGTCCTAGCGGTCATCGTCTCCATGAATTCCTTCATCATGGTGGCTAAATCATCTTGCGGTTGTGGCGCCATGGATCTTGACGGCTTTGATACCAAATTGTTAGGGTTCTGGGACTGAGAACGGGTCTAGGGACGACTTGGGGTAGCATGGTACCCAGGTAAGGTGGTAACCTGCCTGCTAGGGTTACGCCTCTTCTTGCCCGTGGCTGGAATAGCGCAGGGGGAGGGGGAAGTCCGTGGACTTCTCTCTGCGATTAATTATTCTTAATGATCGATGGTTTTATTAATGCTGAATAAAGAGTATAAATAGGCAGTCTGCCTTTACATGATAGAGTTCTACTCTAACTAAAACTGTAACTTCTAATACTTCTATTACTAATATGAAACAATAAATAAATATAAATTAATAAATAAAATATAAAGATAACATCAAACTGGACTCCTAATTAATTAAAACCCTAAAAATGCATCCGTAACAGTTATGTAGTCTGTACTAATTCAATTCGCAAAAAAAATGAGGCTCTTCACTTTTCCACGATTAATACTCCGTATTAGTGAATTTTTCTTTACACTATCTCCAATAAAATAGATGCCTGTAATTAAATAAATGGAAAGGAGTAATCGTAAAATTTATTTTGTCACTTTATTCATATTTTAATACCTATAATGGAAAGTGAAAAACCATTCTAGGACAATCATAATAGAATTTTTGCAAATCAAATTAGGGTCTTACTCCGTATTACTTTTATTATTCAGCCCTCGCACCATCACACTCCCCTTTGAAGTTTGAACTAGACAAAGGATCATTAAAAAATAAAAACTCTCATAGCCTTGTGAAGAAGACGTTTTGGGCGAGCTACCTCTTAAAACATGTAAAACAAGATAAATGCCTACCTATCGGCCAGACGCAGCAGACTTGGAGAGGAGCCAAGATTTCACTTCCACCGAGACTGCTAAGTGCTCGGTACTGCTATTGAACTCTACTTGAAAGAACAATATTTTGAAAAAGGAAAACAAATTAAATGAAAAATTAATCACTACAACAAGGCCGCATACAATGGTGCACCAATAACAAAAGGCTATAGAAGGTTTCTTGAAACTCTGTGAATGATATTCTGGACATACATCAGATCAGATCTTTAGCTTCTCAATTTCCAGACCCTTCTCCTCTTGTCTCTCCTCCTTCACAGGAACCACTGAGCAAGCTTGAAGGTCAATTGAAAGCGGCGGAGCTTCAGAAAGAACTGTATCCTCTGCTTTGTCTGATGCCAGTTTAGCTTGTTGGTGATGTATCTGAGCTAACGGGGCTTTAACTGGCGGAGCTTTAGAAGATGGTGGCTCCTTTACTTCTTCGGGTAACTTCTCTGCCCGAACAGGGGGAGGGGCAGCATAAACAGGCACAACGTGCCTGATTGAGACAGATGGAGGCATCCCTAGAACTGTGTGCCCCACTACTCTTGGAGACTGAAGCGGAGGTGCTGAGAAAACTGGAATGGCATTACGTATTGTCACCGGAGGTGCAACCCTATGGTGAGGGCTAAAATGCCGAATCGGAATATAAGGTGCGGCACTGGCTGCAGGAAACTTCTCAGCCATATTGGGTATACTTTGGGCAGTGGGTCTTAGACACACTGGACTGGCAGGTCGGCTGTGAGTAGTTCTTGGGCATATCAGGGGAAGTATTTTGGATGTGGTGGCTGGAGTTTGCTGCATATTATTTGATTGTCTTGGACTTGGGGTGGAAAAGTTTATGGGAAACGGGATTCTGGCCAACTTCGCCTTGATCAGAAATTTATGCAAAGCTCGCGCTACAGTTACATGTTCTTGCTCATCATTTCTCCCTTTATCTGGTGGTGTTGAGCTCTCGGTTTGTTGTGTCACTGGATGGAGAGAGAGAGAGAGAGAGGAGTTACATGTCATGCAACACATAAGGTGTAATATACAAAAAAAAAAAAAAAATCATCACAAGTGACTCATTCCTTTACAACAGGCGCAGGGAATTAAGATGAAGTACGGATTAAGATGATTTACCTTAAGAGTTGCAGCTATTCTTTGTATGATTTACCTTAAGAATTGCAGCTATTCTTTGTGCTCCCACCCCCCCACCCCAATCCTAATTATTAATGACCCAAATCAAAGAGCTGTATTGAACAAAAGAAGTATTTTTTTATTGAATTTAACAAAATCTTTAAAAGAATGCTGTAAACAAGTTAAGCATGAAAATTTTAGAATAACAAGAAAAAAGATTGATAATATGCATAGGATACTACGATGGATGATTTACAAGATTTGCATGTCACCAAAATTAAAAAAATTGCCAATTGAGGAAACATGAGTCTTTTTGGGATGGAAGTGGTATGACACAAGCCCCATGGGGGTAATCACTCCACGAGATGTCACACTTTGATTTGGTTAGAGAACACTGTTTTTTAATTATTTTTTAAGGTCAGCACCAACAGAGTGTTTCAACTCAAGTAGTGTCACTCCACAAGGTCTGCCAATAATCCAGGAGCTTTTACTCTGATACAAAAGTATGTGTAAAATAGTGGAGAAAAAAAATCAATGTTCACTTATTTGTATCAATGCAAGCTGTACAAAGACCAAACCTAGCAACTTAGTAGCTGAAAGATAAGTATCTACCATTAGATTGACCTCAGTTATTGCTGTGAATGGCACCAAACCACGCACCAGAAAAAATTGATGGTTTTATCACTATTATGCTTTATTGGTAGATGAAGGGAAGCTGACGCACCAGTTAAGGTGTTGATCTGTGACCGAGAGATCACGGGTTCAAGTCGTGGGAGCGGCCTCTTGTCAAAATTTGACAGAGGAAGGCTTGCCCCTTATACACCCTTGTGGTGGGACCCTTCCCCGGGACCTCGCCTTGTGGGGATGCATTCGTGCACTGGGTCTGCCCTTTTATGCTTTATTGAAATGTAAAAGCATCCCAACTACTCAAAAGTATCAATAAGATTGTATATGACTTCCCAACTTTATCAGTGTGTAATAATCAGCACTTAGCTGTAAATAAGCTTAAGAAAAGAAAAAATATGAACTACACGAGTTGTAACAACTGCTTAACACATGAGTAGTTCATTGCACTCATCTTACTTTTCCTCTTTCACACTGCAAAATGGTAACTACTTATTACTAATCAAAAGAGACAACTCACTAGCTTGCCCTTCATCGGGAGAAAGTCAAGTTTCCTACCCCAATAACAAATGAGACAATTAAATTGTTTTGTATCAAATAATACCTTAAATCTAATATGATATACCAAACTGTATCAAATAATATGTGTCATGTTTTGTACAGGATACCTTAATATGTAAGGGACATGAAGTAATAATACCAAACTGTATCAAATAAATGGAAACTAAAGGGTTTAAATCACTTACATAATTTCAGGGATGACCAAGCTGCCATGGCTGCATTTTTTTCAGCTTGCTTTTTATTTTTAGCTGGCTCTCCACTAAATATAACACCTGCCAACTCTACAGTACCCGTGAAGATAGGTAGATGTCCTAGGCCTGATCTGAAAGTTGTATAGACTGGCAATGATGCCCCTACTCTTTGAGAAACCTCTTGCAAGAGATTTTTGTATACCCCAGTCTCATCCTGTAGGTTTTTTGCACTAAAGTAAATAGAATAATAAACATAAAAGGATACTATACTCATGTACCAGATGCAATTTGCAAGAGTAGAGTAAAAAAGACAGAAGCATTACATAGAAGCTATTAGCTATTTAGGTACAACTTTAAAGACTGTGTATTAAAACTAGAGATAATGTCTTGACAATGCATAAATGTTATTATACAATAATAGATGGGTAATGCGCGAACTAACTAGGTCACTCTGAGAAAAATATGTCACTTTACATCATAAATATATAACTCCAGTACAATAGGTTGCTCATAGTCATACGTATGAATAATCACTATCACTGTGATTTAGTGAATAGCCTTACCTACCTATCACAACTACCAATTCTAAAGCTTAAGCACTACAAAGTACAAACCATTACAATTATCAAATGGAAAGTCACAATGACATTTTCTCAAATAGTTGGCCGTTTTCTTTTTCGGTAATGATCATGCTTTTCTTCTCAGGCCATCACCTACGAATCATCTTCTCTACCTAGTCGTCAGCATCCTCCTCATCTCCATTACAACATCACCAGTGGCACATTCCCCTCCCAAACTACTTTCGTCTTCTGGACTCATACATGGAACAGATGGGATCAAATGCTTCAGGAGGTTTGATCTTCCACAAGTTGATGGTGATCACCCACTTTCCAAGCCTGTTCCACCTTGGCCTCTCAAAATTCTAGATGTGATTGATGAGTGTGTGGCTACAACTACCCCCACATGTGATTCAGGGGTTTGTGGCTGATCAGTTTGGGGTGCTCCAATGAGAAGACTGAGAGTTTTGGAACCAACAGTGGATCTTGAGCCTGGATGTCAGTTTTAATCTTACTTTTAGATGTTAACTAGTTAAATTTTCTCCTGCTTTCTGTTTTTACTACATGGTTATGGTAATTTATGTCTTTTATCCACAAACAAGTAATCCTACAGAACTAAGGCAAAACCATCACTGAAAAACCAAGAGCATTCCAGGACAGCAAGTGACCCCAAAATAATGCCCTTTGGGAAGCACCTCAGCCTAGATGCCCCCCTCCAAAGAAGCAAAAAATAGCAATACACATTTGTAATTCCTAGCAAAACTAAATATGCAGTTCACATTGAGAAATGTGAAAAAGGGAGTAGGGGACAACACATGTGTATTTGTCAAGGAGGCATCTCTACAGTTATCAGTTTGATATCAAGGAATGCACCTCTACAGATATTAGTTTGATGTCATATGGATGATGGCATTTTGTTTGAATTTCAGTGCAAATAGAGAAAAAACTATCGGCAACTCCACAAGTTCTCCCTTTTTCTAACTAGATATGCTTATGGTAATTTATATGCCATTTCTCCTCTAAATAGAGTAACCCTCTAGAATTAGGGTCAATCCACATTACAACCAAGAGCAATCCAAGACACCGAAAGTCACCCCCTGAAATTCTTTCTTTTGGTGGCCAACTTGGCCTTTAATATCCATACGTGAAAGAGTAGGAGGATCCCTTCCCCTCACAGAAACGAACAGTGCTAATATTAATATGTAATCCTAACAAAACCAAACAGGCAGTCACATTAAGCAATGTGAAAAGGGTAGTAGGGGTCAAGTCGTGTGTGTTTTCAAGCAGACGCATTCATAGTTATCAATTTGATGTCTAATGGAATGATAGCGTGTAAATTGAATTTCAATGCAAAATAGAGAAAAAAAGATTGGCCAAATGGTAGAAAGAAACAAGCTGTTCAAGGAGTGGAAGAAATGAAGAATCCTTCTATTTACGACCTACCTCCATTTATCAAGCATTTGAAGAGTGATTAAATGAATACAAGGAAGTTCCAGATATCTTTCTAAGAACGACTGTGTTAAATGTCCCACACCGGAAAAGTTTGGATGAACGAAGTGCTATATTAATACATGGGCTACTCCTCCTATCAGGTTGACCTTTTAGGATGGAACCTTGTGTCTTAACAGACTAAAGATGGTTGCTAAGTAGCACGGAAACGTGAAACGGGAAATGCGAGAAACGTAATTTCTAAGAAATATAGGATACGAAACGTGGGGGGAACGCGTAAATATTATAAAATATAAGGATGTATTTATAAATATTTTCAATACATGTACACAAGTTTTTCCATATGCACATGTCTGTTTTCATATAATTTGTTTAGTAACCAAATAATAAAATCACTCTACATGTTCGAATTTAGATATTATTTCATATTAGTACATAATTAAACAGAAAAAGTACGGAGTAATACATTTCTAGCAATACATTGCATTACGAAATGTAACAAGTGTTGCTGTTGAGAAATACCACAAAAATTCACTTTTAAAAAAAAAACTATTTTCCACCACAAAATCTTTAAAAAAGAAAAAAAATTGGAATTCGAGGTTTCCGAAGCGTAGTGAAACGGGTTTCCAATTTTTTCTTAATTACGGAAACGGCCCAATGGGAATTTGAAGTTTCCGAAATGCTTCCGAGTTTCCGAAACGTGGAAACGTGAGCCGTGGAGAGTTTCTGTGCATGGTTGTAAATTGATTTCCTTTGAGAGCGAACTGCTCATGGACTAGAAATTCAAAATCTACTAATTTCATATCAGAAACAAACCAAAGAAATCTTGAAATCATGAAAGAATCTTGTTGTTTTTCTCAAACTATAACACCACCGGCTCATTTCTGATAGGTATCGACCATCAAAGCAAAGAAAATAAAATGCTCAATAGATCTCAAAGATGCAATCGCAGCACTGCACAGACAACATACCAAAGAGAGAACTTGAACTCCAGGGTCTAGAACAACCCTAGCTTATACCCAGCTAAATCGGAAAACTCACCAAAATTCTCGCTGCAAGCGAATTGGAAGGTCCACGGTTGGCAAGAGCATTGAGCGCCACCTCTGCTGCAGAATGCTCAGCCTGCCGGAGCGTGGAGCAGTAATGGGGACTCTCGAAAGTCTCGCCGTTGAAGTTCACCGTGGCCTTAAACCGGGGCGCGTGATCCGGACCTTCTCTGATGCAACTATAAGACGGCAAGTTGAAGCAGCTCCTCTGGGCCAGTTCCTGTAGCTGGTTCTTATACATTTCTCCGATGCAAGCCGAGCAGCCAACCCAACCGGGAACAGAGAAAACGGGCCGGAAATCAGCTCAGATCTTCGATGGCATGGCAAATGAGAACTCAGCTCCGACGGGCAATCAAGATAGGATCGTGAAGGTCCTAGGGTTTTTGCTTACATACAGTGCGAGTAAATGCAGTGATTGTAGATAGAGAAACGGAGCACAGAACAGTAGAATTTGAGAGAGAGAGAAAGGGAATGAGCTAGGATTGGTGAGAAATACACACAGTCAGAAACTGAGTGCAGGTTACTTTGGGATATACGGAGTATGTTTTGTGTTGACAATAAATGAATAAATAAAATGAGGATGCTGTGTTTTGAAGTACAGACTTGAACTTCTTGTTTGCATTAATTGCTCCTTTATTTAGTGTTAATGGTGCGATAATATTGAGTATGAGGAATTGAGGATGTTTTAGTCAAACTGGTTTCAATCTTAAACAATAGATCAAACATTGACATTGTAAAATAGAAATTCCATAGACATTAATCAAATTAAACTAATTCATATCAAACTAGACCAACAAATCCGAAAAATACAGTATAGTTAAAAATAATATTAACCTGCAAGCAGTTCCAAACGAAATATACCGAGTACTAATCATAGACGACTTATATAGAACTCAAGTTTAATGCATGACACCCCTTTGTGATTACAACGTGTTTGAATCTACTTCTTAGAAACTGTTTTTACTCCTTCAAAGAACAAAAACAGGGATTTGAATGTTTGAGTGAAAGTATAGAAGTACTTTTGGGTGCTCCAAATTATTCTTAGAAGTCGTTTTTAGATGTTTAAGAAGACCAACTTCTGAAAAACTGATTTTGATTCTATTTCCATTTTTAAAAAATAAAAATAATAAGTCCAAACTACCCCTTAACTTCTTGTGATTTAAATAATGTATCAAAATCTCATACATTATACCCCTCCGTCCCACTAAAAAGGGATAAGGGTCATATAGGGCCTCGAACTTGGAAAAAAATGTCAAATAAGGCCATATTTAGGATGCTATGTCTGGTTGACGCCATTTGGGGTGGTTCCCAGTGGAATTTTTTGATGAATTTTTTTGAGAATCTTATTCATTAAGTCTAGTTTACTCATATCAAATTTGAACTAACAATTCAATCGGGAAGGCATTCAAATGAATTCTTGAAGATAACTGCGCTTTTAACTGCACAGTTATCTTCAAGAATTCATTTGAATGCCTTCCCGGTTGAAGTTTTAGTTCAAATTTGATATGAGTAAACTAGACTTGATGAATAAGACTCTCAAAAAATTTCATCAAAAAATTCCATCGGGAACCGCCCCAAATGGCGTCGGCCGGACAGAGCATCCTAAATATGGCCTTATTTGACATTTTTTTCAAGTTCGAGGCCCTATCTGACCCTTATCCCCACTAAAAAAGGTACAAGAGAGAGTGACACGCAAATCAATAAAAAATGATTTATGTAGTTGATATCGAATTGATAAAATAAGAACAAAGTAAGAACGGTTTAGAGTCAAACAAACTTTATCAAATTTGGTATGAGAGAATCTTAGTGAGACGGACCGAAAAGGTAAAATGGGACAATCTTAGCGGGACGGAGAGAGTAGTTAATACTTAGGTTATGTTTGGTGGACATAAGTCCATGCCTTATAGCTTTTGTACTATTTAAAAAGCCTTTACAAGCTTCTAGTTATATGTTTGACATGCCAGTTTTTAAGAGCCTTTATAAAAATAAAAGATCTTTTTTGAGATGCTACAATTAGTAGCATCTCATTATCTCATATAAGTCAGTAGCTTCTAGCGTTAATTTGTTCCAACAGCTTGTATACCAAACAGAACTAAAACAAATAGTCAGCTTTTTATTAAACATCTACTACTTTTTTCTTTTAAGATATCTTCAATCACTAAAAGACTAACAGTTACTAAAAAGCTTGTTTACAAGTTTAAGGCACTAAACCTCCATGAACAAGTTTAATTGTCTAATACGTAGTAAAAGAAAATGATTGTTATTTTTGTATCATTTAAAAATTTGACAAACTTGCTTGCATAATCAATCACTATATGTCTATATTAAGGCACACAAGTTTCAAATAGTTAAATTTGTTCCTATAGAGAGTTGCGCATTATTAATCATAACACATGAGATTTAAATGACAAATAGTTAATGCATTTTTTAAATGACAAATAGTTAACGCGCCAAATTTATGCATAGTATATCTTCAGAAAATATGGTGCATTTTAAACTCTATAAATCCGAATATCCCAACCCCAAAATTTGTTGAATACATGACCAAATAAAATGAGAGTACCATATCTATAGAATTATTCTCCAAGGACCAAAACCGCATCAGTCCACCCCTACTGGCTACTTCCAATATTCTTCCAAATAGCCACTGAAATAGGCAGCTTGACAGGCAATACCGCAATATTGGAGTAATTGGACATTTGGACCCTGGAATTTCTCCGTATCAACTGAGGTTTAATTGTGATCAATTACTCTAGTTACATAAATAACCTGTTTAGACTCCTAACAACATTTACATTTCATACAAGTAATACTTCTTGTAACCCAAGATACATTCCAAAGAGGGGAGCCGAAAAAACATAGCAAGTATCTAACTATATAATTCATAACTTCTGTCAATACAAATACAAAAGAGCCTTAAATTGCCAGAGTAAAGGCCTTATTCTTCACGGAAGGTAAACAGAAAATTAAAGTATCTATATATAAATAATAATAACAAAAGAACACTTGCATTTCTGTGGAATAATAAGGAAGGAAAGCATGTTTAGAACCCCCCCAAAAAAATCATGCATTCAAAGGGAAACATTGGCTGCTGCTGGTTCAGGGTGTGAGAGCAAGGGTTCCTGTAAGGCTGGATTTATTGGGAATAACATGCATTGAGCGTATTGTGCCATCAATTGGTCAACCAGCACCAGCGCTACCATGGCATCCACCATTGGAACAGCTGCAGTAGCATACATAATGAATGTTGAATACTATACTCTTCAATTCAATGAGTTACTTAGTAAAACTATTTTCAAATAGTACAGAGCCCATACTTTATAGGGAAAAATAATTAAAATACCCCAAACTTGCATATGTAATTTAAATACCCCAAACTTTATATGAAAAGTTATTTTAGCACCATGATCTTGTATTATTTTTTTAAAACACTTTAGCGTTCATGAAGATACAATTAATAAACATTCATTGTAAAATAAACAGTATCCCCCCCCCCCCCCCGAAACTCTATAAAATTGGAATGTTTTCAATTTGCTATTTTAAATTATACAATTAACATCATAAATTTTTGAAATGATACATGATCATGGAAAGTTTGGGGTGTTTATCTCACACCCCTTCAAAGTTTGGGGTATTTTAATTATTTTTCCCTACTTTATAGTACCGCTAAATGTGAAATAAGGAGTACTACGTAATAAACTAAGATATACGTGGTATAACATTTTGAACAATTTTTAAGATGAAACCATAAGTTTTAATACATTTCGAGCCTGAACAAATAATAACAAAAATAAAATGGTTTCGGAATTCAGGAACAAAACAAACCTCGAGGAACAACACAGGGATCGTGCCGACCCCGTGCAATGAGCTCAGTCTCATGCCCGTCCCTTGTCACTGTATTCTGCCTTCTCTGCGAATCATCATCAAAAGAGCATGTGAACCAACCATGTACAGTTGGAAATACTAAACCAGCTATTGGAGGAAAGCCTGCTTACTGATTACATAACATAAAATATACTACCTCCCTCCAACTAAAGTTGGCCAACTTTTCTTATTTAGACATCCCAAAAGACATGGTCATTTCCTTTTAAAGTAACAAATTTGTTGTTACTTTAATTTCTCTGCTCTCTACAAAAATTTTAATCGCACACTTTTTACTTTCTTATTCCAAGTGGAAATTCACTTTGGCAACTATTGTGGGACCGAGGGAGTATTCATGTCCAAGTCAAAAGAGTCATGTTCCAAACATCTTTTGTCCAAAAACATGTCCAGATTGATCAATCAAAGATTCAAAGCTAATTCTTCATTTAATGAATGCCGACAATTAAAAAGAGTTACTGACAAATCACATGTGATAAATTTATTGAAACTAACAATTAAACATTCATTATTTACTACAGTTTCACCATACCACAAGAGATAATGATATCATTTTGAAGGGATATTACTTTATTCAAGATAACAAACAGAACTATTGGGTGTTAACCGTTAAGCACTAAACTCTCCCACCATGTGGCAATGGGCCCAATGAACATTCAAAATAAAAGATGGAAACATACTGAAATTGTGGATGTAGGTTTGAAAGCTATTTTCATGCTAATAATTTCTCCATTAGATATTCCACCCTGAAAAATACAGAAAACACAAATTTTTTCGATTAAAAAGAAAACCATTTCAGTGTGTTTGCCAATAGAACTAATACTTAACATAAGCAATACCTGTATTCCACCAGATCGGTTGGTTCTTGTTCTGATCCGGCCATTTTCATCCACATAAAATTCATCATTATGCTCACTACCAGTCATAAACGTGCCTGCATCAGGGACATAAAAAGGACATCAAAACTAGCATACAAGAAGAGGACATACTGTACTTTGTTTCCATTAGCGGAGCGGGGTATAAGTGTGTAATGCCTAAAAAGCTTCACATCCAAAATCATACATTGTCTTCATTTTATTTTATTTTATTTTATTATTATTTTTTTTTTTTTTGGGGGGGGGGGGGTCATTAGCATTAAGAAGAAGAAGACAGCATGTGTGGACTGGAAAATCTGTATGTATGTACCTGAAAAACCACTGCCGAACTCAAAACCTTTTGTTGCAGGTAATGACATGCAAGCTTTAGCTAGCTCAGCTTCGAGTTTGTCAAAAACAGGAGAACCAAGACCCTAGTAAAAGTAAACCAGCTGATTAAATAACACTTATATTGTTACAATTTATCCTAACTGATAAATGCACCTAGGCATATGCAATGAAGGCATCTGTATACATTAAAATGACAAGGTTGAAGATGAGCTTACTCGTGGAGCATTCCTAACAATGCATGTGACAACCCCACCAACAGAATCCCCCTTTACTCGAACAGCATCGATGGCAGCTATCATCTTTTCTGCATATTCAGGATTTGGGCATCGGACTATATTGCTTTCAACCTGGCACCATCAAGTGAGAAAGGAATGAATCAGACGAAACAAATATTAAAAATAAACTACCATACCAAAATGTAAATCTATCACCATTCACTTTTTCAATTAAAAAAGAAAGAGAGAAGCACCTGGATCTCA